TCTGCCTAAGTATATTTTTTCATCGAGCTTATTTCTTATCTTTAGTACAAGCTTCCTAATTTTCTGAGAATTTTTCATATATTATTTTCTGCTTTTCGTCGAAAAAAAGGATTTTCTCGCGTAAACAAACTCTGTGAAAATCTGAGAATACTTTGGGCCCGTGGTATCTCGTCTTCTCGAAAACTTGCTCCTAAAATTTTGAGACTTTTTCGGTCCTTTAAAAAAACTTGTGTGTAAAGATATGTTCATGCGATACCAAGGTGTATATTCTTATAGCAGAAATTTTTCTGGTGGTTGAAATTTTTTCAAATCCCAAGAAAACTTTGATGAAGTGTCCAAAACCTCAAGTCACCGTAAGAGATTTTTGAGATAGTTTTTGAAATCTTTTGAAGGTCTCAAACTGCTTGATAAACTCTCACCTTGCTTTTTAAAGACTTTTTGAGATGTTTTTTACGATCTCTCGCTCTACAATAATGGAGAGCCAGTTCTTATGTTTATGCACTATTTTGAAGGTTCAAGCATCGGTGTAATAGTGGCCGGTGGATACCAGTTTGGAAACGGGGCTATGCAACTCCAACTCCCGACTGATGTCTACGTGGACTCTGATGGAAATATCTTTGTCGCTGACTCAGGCAACAAACGTCTGCAAATGTGGGCTCCTAACGCTACACAAGGCAAGACGATAGTCACCATGGGTGATTCCGGGCCCAACACTGTGTCTGGAAACAGTAAGTACCAAGATGAGATTTACGTTTTTGGTAGTCGTCTCATGAAATACTCAACAAATTCCTCAACATCATCCGGAAGTTATCTTGGTTTTTTGGCCGAGCCTGCTAATGGCATGGTCGTCGATCAATGTGACACGGTCTACGTGACGGCGGGGTATGTATCCGGCGGGTATGTATCCGGCGGAGGGAGACTATCAAAGTTTACAAGTAATAATGTAACTGAGCAGATTCTGCTCTCCGGTCTCGCGACGCCGTCGGATGTAATTCTCGATCAGTGCGGCCATTTGTTCGTTGCTGAAGCTGGCAAACATCGAATTGTGCGGTATAGTACACGTTCGGGTGGCCCAATGGAAGTGGTGATCAACAAAAGAGGATTGGATGGTAGTGACAGTGAACATTTGAACAAACCGATAAGTCTGTCCTTTGACTCAAAGTGGAACCTCTATGTAAGCGACACGGAGAATCATCGAATTCAGAAGTTTGACTTTCTGAATGGATATATGTGGTGTTAGATGTTTGATGAGAGAGTGAACGAAGATTTAACTTTCGTCGAATAAAATTGAAAAACTGACGAGAAAATGAAGTTTTGTGGATGTAAGAACCTGGCTTTTGAGGATGCAAGTAAGTTAAAATACTGGAAGTTTTATAACAGCGAATATAAAAAATGAGTTAATTGTGTGGTTGAAGGACTATGGACATTGAAAACGGAAACCATGGTTTTGTGCAATTAAAGAATACTTCGATCGACGCAGATGTAATGCTCTTTTGATCGACATAGTGTTGACACTGTGCAAGGAGATCGATCAAAGATGACCATGGAACTAGCTTTTGTGTAGTGATATGCAAATGGCGTAACTCATTGGTCACGCAGGCCGATGAGTTATTCTCGTCGATTCAACGAAGACATTCGAGATCTTCTCCATTTTTATATAGTTATGATCGTTATCGACTTCAAGGAACGTGATCTAGCCATATTTAGTAATGCAAACACACTATACAATGAAATCATGAAAAACAAAAAATCTGATACGAAAAAAGGGTCAAACAATAATATATGAAAGTCTAGGCATAAACACGGAGAAACCAAAAAATATGTGTAGTAAGAAGTAAAAAGGCAAGGAGAGATAGAACAAAAGAACACGTTATTCTTCTTTTATAAATCTTTTTGTCGCACAAATATAGTCTATTACTGCACGATATATACATGAAAAATCTTCTTTCAAAAGAGATACATTTAGTAGAAGAAGATCAAGACTAAGGATAGGAGCATTTTTTATTGTTGAGATTTCTTTATCAGAATTTTTCTTTGAGCGTGGAATAACACACACTCTGGTAGATAATGCTGAACTCTCTCTACTAGATAAGTGATTGGCTTCCGAAACTAGAAGAGCAGCCTTATACTGTAACCGCAATACAGGTTGCAAAGCCGTCTTTGTAGTGCATGAGTAGATCATATCTGCATAGTTCAATATTGTAAAGTATATGATTTGTATAACTGATCAAGGATGGGAGTGTAAAAAGTGTACTTAAACTTCATCATCATACCCAAAATAGAGTTGCCCTTGAGAACAATATAATTAATATGACCCTTTCAAGATAATGATGAAGTAACGTACACACCCAAGTGTTTATGTTCCTCAACTCGATCGAAAACATGACCTGCAATCATTAGCGTTCCAGGCGATGGTTTTTTAGAGAAACACATTGAAACACATTTTGGTAAATTTAATAGTAACAACCATTGAATGGACCACTGCTGAACAAGCGCAAGGTCAGGTTGATCTAATTATAACTCTTATCACTACAATAAAGTAGCATATCATCGGCAAAAAGGTGTTAGGGCAAACACTTTTCTTCCTTAGCTTGTACAGTAGTCCTTTGTACCATACCTTATCGAAAGCCTTTTCGAAGTCTAAAAACATAACTTCAATATCTTTATCTAACGCCGTAGCTTCGTAAATGAATTATTCAAGATCTACGAATTGGTGAAGTGTGGGGTGTTTTTTTTCGAAAGCCTGACTGAAAAACCGACAGAAGTCTTTTTCTGTCAAATATTCATAAAGTTTTTTATAAACTACCCTCTCGATGACTTTCAACAGGGCTGACAGTAATGTTATCGGACGATAGTTATTGGGCAGCTTATTATCTCCATCCTTGAATACTGCAGTGATATAACTTGACTTCACAGGATCAGGAAATGCAGACTTCAATATTGAAGTACCACAGATGGATGCAATATCTTCAGTGATAATTGATGAAGATTCACGCAAAAGGCGATTGTTGACCCATGGTGCGGCTGCTTTATTAACATCAAGACGTGATAAAATTTTTTCGACTTCTTCGGCAGAAACAAGAAAAGACAGAAGTGTACTAGTTACAATTGGAAGATTGTTTGTACGAATAGGAGTTTTACAATCTACCATTGACATAGTACACACTGACACAAAATGTGCGTTTAATAACTGAGCCTTCCCCTGATCATCATTGACTAATTGAGAATTAGTGTTCTGAAGAACAGGTATTGCCGTTGTGTTGGCTCTGCCAACGTGATGCTTAACGAGGTTCCACCAATATATTCCATTACCAATTTGATTTATTCGTTCAACTGATTTTGTTTTGCCTTACAAAATGCCTCGTTGAACTGCCTCTGCACTGCTTTATACCGTTGTCTGTTGTTTACCGACGGGCTGAGAGATTTACACTGCCAGAGTGTTTATTTTTACGTCTATATAACTCTCTTAAATAATCGGCAAACCACGGTTGATCTCTATTATGCAACTCAATGTACTTGAAAGGAATGCTACCTTTCGCCACATGATCAATAGAACTCAACAGCAATTCACATTTTGCATTAATATCACTATTATAAAATCCACTTACATTGTTATTGAGTTCCTCCATCAAGCGCTAACGAAAATAGTTCAATCAAAAGCCTTATAGTTCCATATTATTCTAGTAATAGGCAGTTTGACAGACATAGCAGTGTTCAGATTGATAAGTACTGGTGAATGATCGCAAGTTTTGCACAACAAGGGTAAAACTCTCACACTATCAATAAGACTCAAATTATTTGTAATCACTAGCTCAAGACAGATCTGGGATACCAAATGTGTCGGTTCTCTCACTACTTGATAAAGCCCTGCGCCGCCTAGTAAGGAAAAAAGTTTCTCTCCTTCTGATGTTGGATGGGACTACCTAGCGCTGAATCACTGAAGTGTTCTGAGTCACTGAAGCGATGTGTCGCCACAATGGACGTGAAAGTGATCAATGATGTTCAGAGCCACTGGTGGGGGGTGTCGCCACAATCGACGTGAAAGTGATAGGTGACGGTATAAGGAACTGGAATGACGCCACAATCGATGCGAAAGTGTTTTTTGATGTTTGAGCCAGTGAAGCGATGTGTGGCGCGACACTCGTCGTGAAACTGCGAGGTGCTCTCCACCGTAGGGTGAGTCTTACAACCTTTGACATTTGAATGCTGAGTGGCGGAAGTACATACCCCGATTGTCGATAGGCTTGTAGCGAACGCTGACTGTAGGAAGGTGAGCGTTGTCTGTGATTCAAAGTTAAGGGCGCGATTCAAGGGCGTTCGATAAATGGTATTATTAAGTTGCACATTAGTTCTAATGGAATTTCCCGATCCTGTTGGTGTTCAATATGTGGTTCATTATTACTTTGTTGTTGCTGATAGTTCACTAGATTATTTTGCACATTTTGTGCCAATTCACTTTCATCATACATTTTCAAATTATCGTCTTGACTATTCTCAACATCATTGTCTGTTGTTGATGTGCCTGATGGATCCAATTGTGCATTTTTGATTTGTAGCCTTGTTAGCACCATGATTATTAAGGTAACAACAAATAGTACCCAATAGTTTCTAACTAACTGCCACGCTACGATCCTGTTCCAATTTTATTGATCGACGCTATTATTCAAATAAAACTCGGTTAGTGCACCATTGTTAGCTTGTACTTACGTTAGGATCTGGGTTGATTTAGGTAGTGGTAGTTTCTTGATCAAGTTTTAGTTTATTGTTAAATAAAAGAAAAAAACACGTTTATAAATCTCGACACGAGGCAGTGAATGTTACAATAGAATCAAGCTTGACTAACATGTACTTTTCCACTATATTTATATACATTTAACAAAGTGGAAGAATAAGCCAATGACGTTTAACTATGTTGAAAGATGTACAAGTACAGGATAGTAGTAGGATGTCAAAGATTTGCAATGGAATATCGCTTCTTATATAGGAGATCGGCGGGACAACGGTGCTGATTCTATAGAACATCGCTTTTTTCTATGGGATATCGATCTAGTAGTAGGATATCGAAGGTTTGCAATAGAATATGGCTTTTTCTATAGAAGATGGGTGGAATGTCGTGGGGACTTCAGTTTCAATTGGCTTGGACACAGCACTTGATATTGTTTCGAACAGTCAGGAGAACTCGACTTCTTTGTCGAATAAGTTGGTCGTTGTGGAAGATTTGGAAACCAGTTAGTGAGAAATTGTGTTGAAACCCTCGTGTGGGACGAAAAGTGAAGAATAACAAAATGGAGAATTATAGAAATAAAATAATA